ACATTTGCTTGACCAGCCACAACATCAGCATAACAGTTACTGCAAAATTATTTACCTCCAACTCTCTTTGCAGAACACCCAATCCCTGTTCCCTGCAGCTCCCTCCTGCATAATCTGTCTTTCTTTTTCTCCTTGTAGCTGGAAATCAGCTCACAGACAATTTGTGGGCTATGTATATATATTTTTTAATAATTCCAGTCTCGCTCAAGAACTCGCACGCGGGTTCTCGCGTTATTTCCTTGTCACTTCTCGCGTGTGTTTTGTTGTGAAATGTAGTTTGCGGACCAGACAGAGCTGTCGGCGATTCTTCCTATTGTGAAGTCATGCAATGTGAAACCCCCTGTCGCAGATCCATCGTGCAATGTGAACACAGCAGCAAATGAATGCTACCTCAGATGGTCACACAGTGTGAAAACAACGGCGATCCGACGAGTTTAAAAATCGTGCAGTGTGAACTCGGCATAAGGGGCCAACGTTTTGCCAATGAGCAAAATATCAGAGGCCCTGCGATGGCAGCCTGCTGGGGGCCCTTAGGCCAGGTGGGCCCGTAAAGGGCCAGTGCAGGCTTGTTTGCAGGGGAGTCAAGAGCAAGACCAAACCAGCAATACTCAAATTCATTGGAAAAACCTTTACCGACTTAGCACAGAAGCTGCATCTAATGTTGAGATTATATAAAACGTAATGATACTTATGACATTAAACCTGCATTAAAAACCTGCATTAAAATATGACATTAAAACCGCAAGTAGGTGGTGCCAAATCACTGAACGCGTTCACAGAATAATTTATTCAATGGATTCATTGGAAGTACCTGATTTCATTTTGTGATGACCCCACTTTAGGATCAGGGTATAAGATAAATGTACACCGTAAGCAATTATCATCACTGTGTGATGAAGATGATTTGCTGTTTTTGTGACGTAAATGTTTTTGAAGAGCTAAAATACTGTCAAATGCCAAACTCCTCACAGAAGCCTGTGTTAGGATTTTATGATGCAAATAAGAATTGGATTATACCATGTATATTATTACATGGATTATAATTTCGCTAATGTTTCAAGTTTTTAGTACAGAACATTTCTGACATAGTTTTGGTTTTCTTTAACTTTGCATGTCAATGAAACTAAGAAAGAAACTTTTTTTTTGGTATGCTCATGTGATAAATGCAATTAAAAACCGATCTTATTCATTTATGACAGTTGGAATCTGTGAGTTTCATTTGCTATCAGACAACATTGTCATAGAAAATAAATAATAAAAAATTCAGAAAACTATCTTACACTTTTAAGATGATGCCATATTATATTATGATTTTATAGTCATAACAGTAAGTAAATAATGATAATTAAAGGTGCAGTAGGAGATCTTGGAAAATACTAACTTTAGCCTGATAGCACTGAAAGCGAAGGTCCCACCCTCCCTGCAATCGCCGTCCAAAGCCACGCCCCCTGAACGCATTTACGCTCACTCACAGACCAGAATACCAGAGACAACATTACTACAATAGGCTACATCAGCGGTTCCCAATTCCAGCCCATGTTCTGAAGTGAAGTAAACTTCAACGGATTGGGAGGGAGCAATGAGCACTGTCATATCGATCGGAACACAGTTCATGCATGTAGCTCACATCTAACGAGCTGGCACTAGGACTGGATTAACCGCTGGGCTACATCATGTATCATTCACCGGTGAGAAAACTTTAAAAGTACTACAATACCAGGAAGAAAGATTGGGTTGTTGATGTTTGTCTGCCATTCTTGCTCTGTCTTCACAGCGTGCGTGAACGTGCTGATGACGTATCCTGTCTGCGCGAACCAGGTGCGCAGAGGTATGCAAATACATACGTTGACAGACAGGTAGGAAAGCATATTAAAACGCTTGGACCGAGTGTTTTGCTTGGACGAACATTTCTTGATGCTACGCTTTCCACAGAATATATAAATACAGACAAATACATTTAGACAACTTAACTTAATGATTGCTATCGGGATGTGAAGAGAATTTCAACCAGCATAACAAAAACATTTTCTGAAGACAATCCTCTATTGCACCTTTAATTGTACGTTGCTTTCAAAGAAATTGACAAGAGTTAACCATTCTCCAGGGATTTTCTGTATCTGTCATATACACATGTAAATAAATGAAAAAGTCAGACCACAGCAGGGTTCACTTTAACTCTTTTTGATGACTAATTTGCATTAGTCTCTTCTGTTCTTCTGTTCAATATTATGATAAAATATTACAATTTAAAATGTATCTGTTCTTTGCAAATATACATGTTAAATGTAATTTATTGCTGTGGTCAAAGCTGAATTTTCAACATCATTACTCCAAACTTCAGTTACATGTTTTTTTTTTTTTCCAGAAATCATTCTAATATGATTTGCTTCCTAAAGAAACATTTCTTATTATTATTTCTTATATTAAAAGTCTTAGTTTTTTTTTCTATGTATTTTTTGTTTATGTTAGTGGCATGTGTAGTGATCCTCATGAATTCCAAAAACCAACAGATTCAGAACTTGAGGATTTTGATGAAAGTTCTTCACTTCTCATGGCAATAGGTGCATACACAACATGTTCTTCCTCTTTACCATCCTGTAAAAAAAGAAAGAAATCACACAAGATACTTTGGTAACAAAGTTTAGAATAATTAAGACTTTTCATTTATTTTGTTTTATTATACTCACCAAGGCTGCATTTATGAATAGAAACATTAATATTGTAAAATATTATTGCAGTTTAAAATAACTAATTTCTATGTGAATACATAAAATGTAATTTATTGTTCTGATCAAAGCTGAATTTTCAGCATCATTACTCCAGTCTTCAGTGTCACACGATTCTTCAGAAATCATTCTAATATGCTAATAATTCTAATATGATGATTTTTTTTCTAATATGCTCAAGAAACATTTATTATTATTAGGCCAATCAATGTTTAAAAGTTGTGCTGCTTCATATTTTTGTGGAAGCTGTGATACATTACTTTCTACCATGCTTGGGGTCAGTAAGAGTTTTATTTATTGATTTATTTTAAGTTAATACTTGTATTCAGCGTGGATGCAAAATTGATCAAACATGACAGTAAAGACAGTTATATTGTTACAAAATATTTCTATTTCAAATTAATTATGTTCTTCTAAACTTTCTTTATCAATCAAATAAAAAAAAAAAGTCTGGTGGTTTCCACAAAAACATGAAGCAGCACAACTTTTGAAAACAAAATTAATAAGAAATGCTTCCTGAGCAGCATGACCAGTAAATTATAGCGCAGTGGAGGCCTCCCCTCACATAACTTTTCCCAATGAATTCATTATTTCATTATTCCCACCAAATGCACGGCACGGTACGCAGTCTGTTAAAACTCAATGGGCTCAGCAGAAGCCAGAGAGACGCTGTTCCTAGAGGTACACCAATGGTGCACATTTTGGATGTCTCCCTTATTTCAGGTCTTGGAGTCTCCATTAGCGAGCCAATGAGTTGAATAGGTATTTGATTAAGAAACCTTTGAAACTTTTGATGTGCCTCACAGGAACAGGGTTTGGAAACATTGCTTTATCAGAAATGTTAAATATCAGAACGTCTTGGTTACGCATGTAACCCTCGTTCCCTGAAGGAGGGAATGGAGACATCACGTTGGTGACTGACGAATTGGGATCCATTTCGAATGTAAACTAAACGAGCCAATGCACATTGGCATGTGATTATTGCATCCAGCTGCTGCTGATTGCCGCGCGAGTATAACTAGACAGCAGGTGCAAAGCGATACTCAGGTTTTCGCTGAGGAGCTGAGCCGGTGACCCGGCCGCTCAGCAGTGGAACAGCAGCTGTGGCGATGGGACGTGACGTCTCCGTTCCCTCCTTCAGGGAACGAGGGTTACATACATAACCAAGACGTTCCCTTTCAGCCGGTCACTCCGAGTCACGTCGGTGACAGACGAATTGGGATCCATACCAAAGCGCCATGGATTCTGCCCCTTCCAGCCTCTTGCACCCCTTTTTGATGTAGGCTGGGGCTCACACCAAGAAGGCCAGTCTCAGTCAGTCACTCAGAGTCACGTCGGTGACCGACGATTTGGGATCCATACCAAAGCGCCATGGATGCTGCCCCTTCCAGCCTCTTGCACCCCTTTTTGATGTAGGCTGGGGCTCACACCAAGAAGGCCAGTCTCAGTCAGTCACTCAGAGTCACGTCGGTGACCGACGATTTGGGATCCATACCAAAGCGCCATGGATGCTGCCCCTTCCAGCCTCTTGCACCCCTTTTTGATGTAGGCTGGGGCTCACACCAAGAAGGCCAGTCTCAGTCAGTCACTCAGAGTCACGTCGGTGACCGACGATTTGGGATCCATACCAAAGCGCCATGGATGCTGCCCCTTCCAGCCTCTTGCACCCCTTTTTGATGTAGGCTGGGGCTCACACCAAGAAGGCCAGTCTCAGTCAGTCACTCAGAGTCACGTCGGTGACCGACGATTTGGGATCCATACCAAAGCGCCATGGATGCTGCCCCTTCCAGCCTCTTGCACCCCTTTTTGATGTAGGCTGGGGCTCACACCAAGAAGGCCAGTCTCAGTCAGTCACTCAGAGTCACGTCGGTGACCGACGATTTGGGATCCATACCAAAGCGCCATGGATGCTGCCCCTTCCAGCCTCTTGCACCCCTTTTTGATGTAGGCTGGGGCTCGCACCAAGGAGACCAGTCACTGTTGCCATAGCACTACCTACTCAGTGAGATTGGATAACACTGGGAAAATGTACCCATTCCACTTAGATCTGGAATGTTGCAGAAGCCCCATCCTTCCTGAACGAGGTTTCGGAAGCACTTACACGTATGAACAACCGTTTAGGTGCATATGGAAGATTAGAGATGATTGTAACCCCCTTGGAAAATGGCAGAAAGTCTGCTGGGGAAACACAGGCTCTGAGGCTATACCGTGGACTTTACACACATGGGATCCATTTAGGTCTCTACATATGGAACCCAGCCCTCTACCGGTTCTCACGGATTCATAGAGTGAGGGCCTGGCGCCGGACATTCTGCCACGTCTGGTTGCCGAGGGGACGGAGGAGCTCGACAGGGTCTACAGTACAGACTTTCTGGAGCAGTTTTAGCAAGCCAACACTTAAATCGGGGCCTCTCAGTGCTTCTACCCGTTTGAGGTGAAAACACAGGTGGATTCCGGCTCCACGCAAAGGCAATAGAATGATCACCATCACTGCCTAGTTATACTCGCGTTGTGATCAGCGGCAGCTGGATGCAGTCATAGCATGCCAATGTGCATTGGCTCATTTAGTTTATATTCGAAGTGGATTGGTCTCTCAAAGCGAGATCCCAATTTGTTGGTCACCAACGTGACTTGGAGTGACAAACTGAAAGGGAACAGATGAACAAAATGAATAACAAAAGAAAGGAAGATTCAGATAGACAAAAATATAATCTGAGCTGGAAGTGTCACATCTTATGCTATTTGAATTATTGGAAACATTGATGTTTTGAAATCAAATACAAATGTTAGGCAGCATTTGTTATGTTGGTTTTAACTGCTGATTCCACTAAGTGTTCTGTTTTTTCTTGTTGTTCTTTTTCTTTGGTTTTTCTTGGCAGTTTGCAAATGTTACAGCCATCTTCTGGACTGAGTTATGAACTCATTGGGATGTCAATTTATATAAGGTACTGTAACAAAACAAAAAAGACAACAATAAAATAAATCCTGCTTGCAAGCTGAGTTTCTTTCAGAAAGATCATAACAGCCTTAATTATAGATTGTGTGCCAGGCAGACTCGATAGGTTTTTTAAGCTCAATCAAAATAACTTTAATTAACTGTCACCGCACCTGTGGGAATCTTGGCACTCTTTTAATGTGTTGTCCTTTTTCTCTGTCAAATAGTAACCAGTAATCATCATAAATTATATATTGTTTGAAAGCTTAGAAGCCCAAGATTCATCCTGTGAAAACCATTTTGAATTCGGACATTGCGTTACCAAGGAAATGCTACTTTAAAATATTTTGGCGGTCTCCTCCCCCTTAGCGGACAGTGTTAAGTGTCATATTACAAAATGCATTACGGTCTTTTACAATCAAAATGTTTATAATCTTGACATAAAACATTGGAAAGGTCTGAGTCTCAGGATTGCTTATTTGGTGGTTATTTTGTGATAGAAGTAATATTGACAGAAAAATCTAGACATTTGTGACAGAAAAATGCATTAAAATTTTTTTATTTAGTTTTGATGTCACCTGGTGGCTGTTTGTGGTATAATGGCCTAAATAAAATCTCACAGAAACCTCAATTTTTTTTCATATCAACTTCAAATTTGGCACATAACTTATTTAGACATAAGGCTTTACTCTTTTAGCAATTTTAGAGTAAAACCTGTTATTTAAAATATTTAGTTTATATAAAATATAATAAAAATTGTACAGTGCATTTTCTTTACAGTAAATTTAAACTTCTATAACGTTTTGATGTTTTAATTTTTTGAAATAATTTCACTTCTGCAAAAATCTGCTGACTGTCTTCTCTAAAAGAGACCAGCCTTTCATCTGCATTCCAAAGTGTTCATGAATTATGACAATTTTATTTTATTTTTAAAAAATGGTGGGTGACAGTTAAGGAGTTAATTTCTGATTTGCTAAGTGGGATTTGTGTATATATGTATGTGCTCTGCCTTCAGGGCTTATTTTGCTAACTTATCCACCTTTTAATTTCCCTCAATACCCACATGCACTGGAACAAATGTAAACCGTGTATACATTTTTTGTTGAGTTAATCTAAAAATTAATTGATTTAATTTACCCAAAAGATCTTGCCTACATATAGATTTTTCACTCTGAATACTTGCCAAGGCGGACATGGAATCTGAGCAGATGACTATTTTATGCAGCTTAGAGTAACTTCCTCTACCCATTGCAGTGCTAAAATAATGGCCATTATTTCAGCTGAGCGGTGATCTGAAATTATTTTTTGGATGTTCATATTATATTCTGGGATAAATACAGCTGCACATGTTTAGCCAGTTATTGGATCTCTGGATGCATCTGTGTATATCTGTATTGTGTCATCATACTGGTTTCTATATACTGTTGGATTTTGATATATGCCTCTAGATTTTACAATGTATTTTATTACCATATTTACTATAGGAAAAACAGAATAGGGATTCCACTCCATCCAAAGCTTCTGATATTGATATGCATGTGTTGTGGCTAGAAGAGATACAGCTACGACCGCAATAAAATAACAATAAATTAAATTTGATATCTATCAGATTGTGTTTTATTCTACGTCTACACTTACCCTGCTAGCCTTACAATAATGCAAATACAGTAATTAACTGTTGTTCAGTGTGACAAAAATGGCGCAATAAGCCCTGGTAGGAATCTGGCTGTAGCTGTATCTCTTCTAGCCCTGTCCATGTACCTAGGCCTATACAAGTATTCGCAAAATCTGTACCTACCGCTCAAAAATATAAATAACTATTATAGGTATCAAAGTGTGTTTGAGTAAAGAAATGGTTTGGAAGATGATTTTTTTTTTTTGCATTAATATATATTTTTTTAACAACAACAAAAAAGTAGCCTTGCGTTGCTTTAGTCATCTGCCAACTTGATATGTTTTTATCATTGGAAAAAAAAATAAGTTAACATTTAATGATCTATAAGCATTTTGGAGATCACAAATTTCTTTGAAAACTAATTATAATAAACATTTTCAGTGTGCTATGGTTCTCTACAACCAAATTCTTATGCATTCATTACATTTAAGATTTTCAGCCATGATGAGAAATAATAGAAAACATTAGACAGCATTGGTAATACAGCCTTCACCTGTCAGTTGAAATGGATGTTATTTTAGAATTTGCTGTTAGCATAATAGCAAGTTCATGAAACTTGGGATTTTTCCTCAGAAGTCTCTGATTTCCACTTGTCCAAAGTTTTGAAAAGTGTGGACTCTGTGTCCACAAGATAAAGGCATATTAGTCTATAAGAAATGTATTGTATCATGTCTACCGAAAGATTTAATCTGATTCACAAACTCAAATGCATGTCAGGCTCAATGTGTTTTTACCATCTGCATCTCAATATATGAGACATGCACACATGGACTTGAGAGTCACTTCACAAGTCACTCATTTGAAAAAAACTATGTCAAATACAAACTTAAACTGAAAGTAAAAGTCAAAGTGTTTCACAACAACCCATCAAAATAAAAGTCTGGTTTAACTTGAAGAGATTGTGACCGAAATATATTACTATTGTAAACTAAAATTGTATTCTTAAAGTAATAATAATAATAATAATAATAATAATAATAATAATTTTAAGGAATATCATAAAACCAAGGTATTTTTTCATTCATTTATTTTATACAGTTATACAGTGATGTTGTGTAACATCTTATTTAACAAAAACAATGCTGTGTTTTGTTGTAAAGGTTTTCCTTTCATTGCATTTCAATTTAGCTGTTTAAAATTTCAAGATTGATTCGACTGTTAAAAGTTTTATTAATTAATTTAATAAGACATAGTTTTTATGGTCAATTTGATTTGAATCATAAAACACAGAATCCAGGAAAAAATAAAATGGAAAAAAACATATTTAGGGGAAAATAAAACAGATTTCATGGGGCCCTAAATTAAAAGGTAGCTCTCTGGTGTTTAATTGTCAACAAACAAATTATATTTACATTTATTCTCAAAGTCTAACAAACACATGGAAAGCATTTCCTTCCCAATTAATGATAAATGATTATTGTGATAAATGTCAATGGTGTATGATATGGGAGAAAAAAAAACTAATATTTCTGGTCATATTGCCCAGCCCTTGGTCTACATCGGAGTCACTGTTGAAATGATAGGCTACAGAGACACACGACACATGGTTAAATGATCTTACCGATTTATGTGCATTTCTTTTGTAGAACACTGGCTCAGTGTAAGTTATCTCGTCATCACGAGTCTCAACTGTTTCAACAGCAATAATAGATGGATTAAAACAACAAAACTCAAGCTTAACTAGATCTGGTTCTTCAAAACATGTTATTAGGGCTGTCAAAGATAAAGTCTGAATGCAAACGATTAGTTTTATATTTGCATTCCTGTGTTTCCAGTGTGCTTTGTTGCAGTTTGAGAAATTAATAATCTTTTTTTTATTTTTTTGTGCAAATGAAACAAGTTGCTGCCCCCTGCCAATTTATACAGTAGTATTCTGACATGAGTGCAATCCACTGGAACCGCTAAACCCAATATCTAAACATGATTATTTTCAATTTGTTTAACTAGAGGATGTTAACTACATGAATTAGGAGAATAATTGTGATTAAATTATATATAGGGCTATCAATCAATCCAAATATTTAGTGAACACTTCTTTGTCCCACTTGCCTTCTTGATCAGTTTGTCTGCATTTCGTGTAGATCCAGAAGATCACAACTGCAGCAATAATGAACAGAGATCCAGCAGCAGGAACAGAAATCAACACTATGTACAATAAAGGTAGGCCCTGACCTGAAATGGACAACATGAGCCGTTAGTGTGATTTAATCTGTCTGATCTACAACAAACACTATCAAACATAAACACTATGTGACTTGATGGATCAGATTAGTAAATCAATGTTAATATCAACACCAACATACTTGCACACGTGTGACAGAGTTCACTTATCTTGAGATGTGTGGTCTGGTTGCTGATGGGATTGTTGAGCACACAGCTGTAGCTGTTTTTCTCCTGATATTCCACCTCCAGAGGTAGAGAGAGACTGATGCTGAGATCAGACACACTGATGCTGGACAATAAACTGTTTCCTTTGTACCAGGAGAGAGTCACATGACTCACATTCACCACTAAACACAACAATGAACATGATGATGATGGTGAAGAACAGTCTCTAGTAATGTTAGGAGTGGGCAGAGGAGCTGAAAACATGAGAGAACAAACATAAATATGGATAAACATAAATAACAACCATTTTTGGTGTAGAGTGTTAACAATCAACAGCATTTGTGGTATAATGTTGATTACAACAAAAATTAACCCACACATGCAAAGGTGAATTATTATTTTTCAATATACAGCATATAACAAGAGAAACAATACACGTTAATGTGATTTCAGTTTGAAGAATCACCTGCTAACCTTTTCTGTGTAAAGTTATACCCAGTTTTACAACTTTGTCATTTTGACAAAAGAACACCCTAAAACGACTGTAAATATTAACATTCAAACTGCTTTATAGCTCAAATTAGGCACAAGTTTTAAAAAGGACCTATTATGCCTTTTTATATAGGTTCCTCTTTATTTAGTGTGTAATGTTACTGTTTGTGCATGAAAAAAGTCTGCAATAGTATTCAAATCACAAAGTCACTCCAAAGGAAGTTATTCTTTATATCAGCATCTGTTTCTGAACTCCCTTAAACTCCTCAATTTTAGTCTTGAGTTTCTTCTAGGAACAAACACATCACCATATTCTTTATTTAAATAATTCCTGTCCAAAGCATACACAAAATAAAGGGACGGGGCCTGGTTGAGTTAGTTAGTAGTGTGTTGAAACTCACGGTTATGGTAAGGGACACGACATTTCCCAAACATGCTTGAAACATTTGACCAACCACAACACCAGTTTTTTGAACATTCAAGCGCGAAATACTATTCTTCTAGACAAAAACAAAGTAAATACATTGTAAGAGGGCATGATAGGTCCTCTTTGATAAAATAATTAATGTGTTACATTTCTGCTTTTAAATCCTCCAAAAGACTGGCCACATTGACTGTCATTGTAAGCACCTCATCCTAACCTAGATTTTTGCTTTGTTTAGTTAAAATAAATTTTTGAGGTAACCAGCATTACCTCAATAAGGATAAGCATAACCAGCTTAAGTTGTATCATTTTAATAAAACAAGATATGCAAAGGTCATCACAAATGATCTCTACTCACCATAGATAGAAATACTGAATGTTTTTGATGACAGTACAGCTCCACTAATCCCTAGTTCATAGAGTCCAGCGTGTTCATTTGTGATGTTTGTGATGGTCAGAAATCCAGTTTGTATGTCCAGCTTCAGCCTGTCTTTGAATCTCCCATCAGGAACATCATCATGTGTAGAGAAGATTCCAGCAGCTCTATTCATTTCAGCTATCAGAGATTGGTCATCTCCAAATTTCCACAGTATGTCATCGTCTTCATTTATTTCAATAACATCAGTGTTTAGAGTGACAGAATCTCCTTCCATCAGTGACAGTGATACTGACTCGCCAAACACACCTGATAAAGAGATTTTGTCAGATTAATGCTTCTGGTTGTTTACAAAGCCTAAGAAACAAAAGAAAATCCCACACAATACCAATACTTGCAAAATTATCAAAAACAGTCCGAAATGTTGTCAATAAATTACTCTTTTTGATACTTTTGCAAGTATTGGTAATGTGCAGGATTTTCCTGTTTCTTGGTTTTTTTATTTACTTTTTTGGTCTTTTTTCCTACGCAACTATCTATTACCTGCAGGTGTGCGATGATGATTGTTAACTGTTTACAAAGCCTGAAATCAGGTTTTAATGCTTCAATGCGAATTTAAGAACAACAGCAAAGACACAACAATGAAAGGTGAGATTTATGAAAAGATAGATATGTGTGAACCAGTAAGTATTTAATTTCCATGACTTTAGTTGTTTGATCACTTCAAAAGTATTTAAAGCAGATGAAAATGATACATATATATATACATTTTTAAACAGTAGCAGCAACTTTATTACTCAGTGACGAAAAAAAAAGCTATAAAAATGCATTTATAACTTACCTATCAGACGGCACCAGCACAAACAGAACAGAACAAACATGTGAAACATTTTCTTCAGTTGTTCAGTTTGATCTAGTAAGACTATGTCAAAAACACAGCCGAACGATGAGTGAATCCTCCCTCGACAGTTTGACCCTCCTAGTTCTCACACACTCACACTCACACACACACACACACACACACACACACACACACACACACACACACACACACATGTCTGGTCAGCTATCCTTGTGGGGACTCTCCATAGGAATAATGGTTTTTATACTGTACAGACTGTATATTCTATTGCCCTTCACCAACCCTACCCCTAAACCTACCCCTCACAGGAACCTTTCTGCATTTTTATATTTTCAAAAAACTTCATTCTGTATGATTTATAAGCTTTTGTACCCGTGGGGACCACAATTTAGGTCCCCACCGTGACACGAGTCCCCATGAGTCTATGTGTATTCAGGTTTAAGTCCCCACCAGGATATATAAACCAGTACACACATACACACACACACACAAACATTGAATGCATGTTTTTTTATATATTTACATAAATGTTCTTAAAACTTCAGCTCTTTCTGTTAGTTGAATATATTCTTAATTTTTACCATTACTGACCATTTTTTTTATTTTTAAAGATAGTTGTCTGACTGTGTAAAACAGCAGAATATATAAAATAATATAGTGTGTTTTGGATTAACTATGGTCAAATAGAAATGGTTGTGTATATTTTTCCAGTTCTCAGTTTTTGTGTATGGAATAGCCAAAGTTGTAACCAAAGTATACTGAAAAAAGGGTTACCTAGAAATGGCAACATATAAATGTAATATATGTAAATGTAATAAACTGGTTTTATTCAAGCTCAAAATATTATTTAACATCACTGAACCAACCTACATTGATTTATACAGACAAAATTAATTCTTATGGGTTAAATCGAGTGGAAATAGCTCTTTATGGTAACATTATTGCGTGTTACCATTTTTGCAGTGTACAACATCCTCCCATCTCACATGACCAGTCTTACCGAAATATACACAGACACTCACAGCTCAGCCTCTGAGTCAAACTGAAACCTACAGCGGTTGGTTTTCTTAAGAAATGTGTTTTGATCTTTTGGGTCTCCACACATCTTGTGCATGACATTGGGCATTGAGAGCGTATGTGTTTAGTTTGTAGAAGAGGGGCTTCTTCCTGTCCTCCTTAAGTCTACGGTAACAACAGACCAAGATGAGAAACTGTCTTTTAAAAATAAATTGCTTAAAGTTCAGTACGATTTTATATAAGAGCATTTACTTGTGCACCTTATGTGTATATACAGTGGGTACGGAAAGTATTCAGACCCCCTTAAATTTTTCACTCTTTGTTATATTGCAGCCATTTGCTAATAAAAATGGCTGTCCACTAACGTTTACCATCCAACCTGACAGAACTGGGGAGGATCTGCAAGGAGGAATGGCAGAGGATCCCCAAGTCCAGGTGTGAAAAACTTGTTGCATCTTTCCCAAAAAGACTCATGGCTGTATTAGATCAAAAGGGTGCTTCTACTAAATACTGAGCAAAGGGTCTGAATACTTAGGACCATGTGATATTTCAGTTTTTCTTTTTTAATAAATCTGCAAAAATGTCAACAATTCTGTGTTTTTCTGTCAATATGGGGTGCTGTGTGATTAAATGATTTTAGCAAAAGGCTAAACTTAAATGATTTTAGCAAATGGCTGCAATATAACAAAGAGTGAAAAATTTAAGGGGGTCTGAATACTTTCCGTACCCACTGTATATATAAGTGCTGGGCAACGATACAATTTCTTAGTCGCGATTAATCGCATGATTTTCTGCAATTAATCGCGATTAATCGCATTATGCACAAAATTCAATAATGAATTTAAAAGTTGTGTATTGTGCACTTTTTTCATTTAAAAGTACTGCGATATGAACAAAAGTGCAATAGCATCTGGTTTGCAAACAAATAAGGTGCTTTTTATACAGCAGTTATCCTTTTACACAGTTGCAGTTAAAATATTTATTGTAAATCTCAACTTATAACATTAATGTAATCAAATTAAATATAAAACCAAAGCTATTTGCCACTGCCAGGGCATTAACGTTTTTATAGAAAATATTTTATAGTTTGTTATAGAAAAACAAGTTATGCTCAAGAGATCCAGAGCCTAAATCATAACATTATAACAGGCACCTTCCGAGTAGAGACCTGCACGATCACGGGACCCAATGCAGCAGAGTGTGGCCCGAGACACTTGATAGGGGTGCGGGTGCGGGCGGGTATGACTCGTGTGTGCGGGATGCAGGAGAATATGGGTGTACTCACACTAGGCAATCTTAACCATTCCCGAGCGCATTTGATCCCCAAAGCCCGGTTCGTTTGACTAGTGTGATCACTCCGTGTCTTCCTGTGTACCGAACAAATACAGCATTTTTTTTTTTTCAAAAATGGTGATAAATATATTTCCCAGGCATTAGAAAAGATAATATTCAGGAGGGTCTAAGAAAATATGCTGTGATCAATACTTAGTTGCATGAACGCACCTGCCTATGCTTTGAGGAGGAGGCAGTGAAGGATGTGGGTTGTGTGGTGTTCATTATGTTGCACATGCATGTCCATGACACTTTGCCTAAAGCTAAGTATTCATTCTTTTTAACCAATTCACTGCTATTGTAACTATTTTCAACTTAGTGATCTTTACTGAAATGGTTAAACTCACACTGTATGAGGCCACATTAGCTGAACGTGATTACTCAAGTTTTACACATATCAACTGATTTTATTGAGCTTGTGGGAAAAAACTTGTATTATGTCAATTATAATTAGGTCAAGTCAAGTCAAGTCAGCCAAGTCACCTTTATTTATATATTGCTGTATACAATACAGATTGTGTCAAAGCAGCTTTAAAATGTTAATGGTCACTGGAAAACTCACTGACAGATGTGGAATTGTGTACTCAGTATAACTGATCACAGTGTTTTTAATGTTGTGTATGACTGAACCAAGCAAACATAGTTTCATATGAAAGACACAGACTGATTCAGTAATTGCATGGCAATATATTCAGACTATGAGTGTGTGTTTGACCTTAAAGCTTTTTTTTCTCAGAATAGTATGTTGCACTCAAAAAAATAGAATGTTGGATTCCATGAAGGTTGTAAGAACTAAATAAATTATTATGTCACTTGTAATGCTGAACTACAGTAACTACCTGCAATGATTTGGTGGGTGGGTGCAGGTTATGTAGGGACTATTTTACACCCCTAATCTTTCAGACAAAGACTCTGGGGTTCATAAATACACAGCTGACTTTTTTTTTTTTTACAATAAAGTTCATTAGGAGCCACTCAGAGCACAGGATGAGCTCCCTTTGCTGGCCTCACTAACACCACTTCTAGCAGCAACCTGGTCTTCCCAGAACATCTCCCATCCTGGTACTGACCCGACTCAACCCTGTTTAGCTTCAGTGTGCATGCAGGTGTAAGCTACAGGTTGCTGTTGCTGTCTTGTGCAGCCAGTCTCTTCAAGCATCCCAGAGCTTTCCAGCCTTAGACCAGCATCACTGTCTTTGAAATGTTGTTCATTGGCATTTAGTTGTTTAACTTTATCTTCTCATCTAGACCTATATATATTAGCCACATTACTTATGCTTTCAAATCCTAGAAATGTGCCTGAGAGCAATGATGCTGTTTAAGCTGGAAAATAATAATAATAATAATAATTAATTTAAAAAATATCATAAATAAATAAATATCATAAACATCATAAAAAATAATGAAGTATGGTGTGAATTTGTTTATGGTTAGAACTGTTTACATAGGATTTTAAACAAACCATCTGTTTGATGTTTGTTCAGTTGCTGTGTTATGAACTCACCGTCTGACTTCCACTCTAGATAAAACTGCTTTACACTGAAATGGAGGACTGAATCAATCCATCAAACCTAAAAACAAAGAAGAGTTATTGATCAGAGGTCAAACTGGATTTTTACCCATCATGCATCACTTATAAACCACACAGATTGACAGCTAAACACACCACTAAATACGCTGAAACTAAGAATCTGTTTGTTAAAATTAGCATCACATTAAAATAAGAATTTTTTGAAGTTTTTTATCTTCCATCCACCTATATTTCTGAAATGAAAGTTTAATCTTTAGTTAGGCTACATTCATCATTTTTGTTGGCATACAGGTACATCTCAATAAATTACAATGTCGTGGAAAAGTTCATTTATTTCAGTAATTCAACTCAAATTGTGAAACTCGTGTATTAAATAAATTCAAAGCACACAGACTGAAGTAGTTTAAGTCTTTGGTTGTTTTAATTGTGATGATTTTGGCTCACATTTAACAAAAACCCACCAATTCACTATCTCAACAAATTAGAATATGGTGACATGCCAATCAGCTAATCAACTCAAAACACCTGCAACGGTTTCCTGAGCCTTCAAAATGGTCTCTCAGTTTGGTTCACTAAGCTATACAATCATGGTGAAGACTGCTGATCTGGCAGTTGTCCAGAAGACAATCATTGACACCCTTCACAAGGAGGGTAAGCCACAAACATTCATTGCCAAAGAAGCTGGCTGTTCAGATGATTTGGGGTGCAATGTCATCTGTGTCATCAACGAAACAGTACACTTCCTTGGGCCTCCAATGCCCCATTGGAGTACGGGCCCACTCGACTAGAGGCATCGCCTCGTCGTGGGCATGGTCTAGTGGTGTGTCCATTGTGGATATTTGTGAGGCGGCCGGCTGGGCCTCGCCGTCCACATTCGCAAGGTTTTATAACCTGGAAGTCCCGGCCTTGCAGGCCAGGGTCCTTTCCACTTGAAGTGGCACGCGCTGCGTAAACAGATATGGCAGAGAGCCCTTGGCCGTATCACACCCAAGTTCTCTGGCATTGTTTCACCTGCTAGCTCTCGACCCCTGGGTGACGAAGTTACGGGAATGCTCTGGAATGATTAACCAGGCCGGGTGTGACCTAGAAAGCTCAGCCCGTCTTAGCCTTGGGTTATTGTTGACTTCTCTATGAGCATTGGTTGCTTATGGAAGTTTATACCTTTAGTCGTTCCACTACATTAGCATGGCGTGATTGTACTATGTTCTCATATGCGTCTTAAGCAAGACGCAGTTCGAGTGAAGTATCGAAAGGGAACGTACTCGGTTACTCACGTAACCTCGGTTCCCTGAGATACGGGAACGAGTACTGCGTTGCTTGCTGTGCTATGTAGCTGCACGATTCAGTCGTAGCTTCAGTCAAAGTAAACCTGTGAATCCTGTGGCAAGCACCCGCTTATATAGCCAGATGCCCCGCCAATTCTGGGAACCAAGGGTATCTCAGGGAACCAAGGTTACGTTAGTAACCGAGTACGTTTGTTTGCCACTTAATTATTTTTGAGTTTATGTAACTTAACCAATCCGACATTAGTCAAAACTCTTGTAATAATGGCTCTCTGTCATTACAGCTTCGGGTCTATCTCCAGATGCTGAAATAGGATTATTTGCTGGTGTTATTGTTTTCTATGTTGTTGTTGGTGTGGTTTTTATGTTGGTAATTGGAGGAGTAACTGCTTGTGTGATTTATTGCTGTTGTCACGTGTTGTCATTGTGAGGTCTGTTGCACGAAGCGGGTTTTGGTTGCAGGTAAGTTTGTGTTTAGTTTGAGCAAACTTTGAATTTTCGGAAGGTGGGATGGTTTTCAGAGAGTTTTGTTATCATGGTAACTTAAACTACACGCTAATTTATAGTGATTGATAGACAAATGAGTGTGGTGAAGGGTGGGATCAATATTTATTAACGAAAGTTAGATAAATTCCCTAATGTTGAGACCATATAACACTTTAGTTGAGTTTCTGTATGCTATTTGTGCACCTTAAACTAAAACAGAGAAAAACAACATTTTAAACAATATTTGGACAATGTATGTTCATATGGTGGGGAAAATAAATATTAGACAAATTAGTGCCCAACGCATCAGCCTGTGATTTGAATTTGACATGCGTTGAAGGAAAACCAAAGGATTATGGTCGGTATACACGGTAATTGGTTGTAGACTAGACCCGATGTACACTTCAAAATGCTGAATTGGAAGCAACAACGCAAGAGCTTCCTTTTCTATGGCACTATAGTTCAGTTGATGTTTGAGAAATTTCTTGGAAAAAAAAAACTAATCGGGTGTTCTATTCCAGCATCATCTGTCTGAATTAAAACTGCACCAGCTCCCGTGCCACTGGCATCAACTTCCAACTTGAACGCTTTGTCGAAATGAGGGGTAGAAAGTACAGGAGCGCTACAGAGCAGAGTTTTCAATGCTTCGAAAGCAAACTGACATGCAGGTGTCCATTCGAAAGAAACCTCTTTACAGAGTAAACCTGTAAGAGGATTAGCCACATCTGAAAAGTTTCTACAGAAATTCCTATAGTAGCCAGTCATACCTAAAAATCGCCTAAGCTCTCACTTCGTCATAGGTACTGGAAAATCCGAAATAACCTGGATTTTGGAACAGAGCGGCCGAACTTTTCCATTCCCAACCTCCTTTCCCAGGTAGCTTACGGTTGCACAAGCAAATTCGCATTTTGCCAAATTCAATGTGAGATTGGCCTCTTTCAAGCGTGCAAAAACACAATTCAGAAGTTGAACATGTTCATCCCAAGAATCTGAGTAACAGACAACATCATCGAGGTAAGCATCACAATTAGGAACATTAAGTAACACTCTTGACATTAAACGTTGAAATGTTGCACCAGCATTTCGTAATCCAAATTTCTCCGAGTGCGGGGATTGGTTTTAAAGGAGCTGGGGGAATAACCTGGTTGGGTTTACCAGCTAGCTGGCAGGCATGACACGACACGACTTACAGAACTTTACTACATCTGATTTCATAGATGGCCAAAAGAAATTCTTTAACAAACCATCATATGTTTTCCCAATGCCAACATGGCCTGAGAGTTCATGTTCATGTGCAACGCTTAATACCTGCAGTCGGTAAGGCTTTGGAACCACAACCTGGAAAACTGTACTCCAATCCTCATCAGTTTTAGGTGAAGACCATTTACGCATCAACACCTCTTCATCGCAGTAATATGCAACAGAATGCTTCGGCAAGGCAGATTGTTTCACCGCAGTTGTGAAGTATGGAATCAAAGTGGGATCAGCATGCTGTGCTTTAATCAATTCAAGTTTACCTAAAGGCAGATTAAAATTAGGAACAGCACACACATTCAACTCATTCACCTTATCTTTTACACCTTGAATGGGAACTTCAGTAGACATAAAGGACTTGGAAAGATCCACAGTCTCCTCAAACTTACGAGACTGAGCATGAGTCACTGCACAAGCACCAAACACATCAGGAAATGTTTCACGTAACACATTGTTACTTTTATTTATGTCAACGGGGTCATCAGTCACTTCAGGTAAACAGAAAACTTTCTTACCTGCCAAGTCATTACCAAGAATGAGTGATACTCCCTCAACCGGTAACTCGGCACAAACAGCCAACTTAACAAGCCCTGAAATGATGCTAGCCTGTAGAAATACATTGTGCAGAGGAACTTTAATCACAGTCAAATCGATTCCTTTCACTAGTACATCAACTCCACAGCTAGAACGGGTAGAAAAGGGTAATATACTTTCTAAAATGAACGACAGAGCCGCCCCTGTGTCCCTCAGAATACGTACAGGTTTAGCTTCAGACATCGCCTCATTAAATGATACAATGCCATCAGAAACGAATGGTTCAAATGCGGACTCAACCATAAAAGGAGATGAGAGTTCTGACACGCGACTGTCAATTAAAGCTACACTCTTCGAAGAGTTAACTTTCCTGCCAGATTTGCGCTTCAAAGCAGGGCAAACTGCGATGAGGTGCCCAGCCTCATGGCAGTAGAAACATTCACGGCTTTCCATATTGTCCCTCACTGAATTCGCTTTAATCACGGTCACATCTTTAACATTTCGTGTACAACCCGTAGGATTACGCTAAGTAGGTGATGAAAATACTACTCGATGAGTGAGCACAAATTCAGCAGAGAAAACAGCCGCCTCTGTAAGAGTAGACACTTTCTGTTCATTCAGATAAATTACAATTTTCTCGGACAAACTATTTTTGAACTCTTCCAGCAATATTAACTCCTCGAGTTGTTCTAGAGTTGTGACTTTATTCGCAGTACACCAATTTTCAAACAAATTTGCCTTGTCACGAGCGAATTCAACAAACGTTTGTCTGGGGGATTTTACATGATTTCTAAACTTTTGACGGTATGCTTCAGGAACTAATTCGTAGGCGCGCAACACAGCATTTTTCATTACATCGTAATCTAAACTCTGCTCAAGAGTCAAGGCCAAACAAACTTCTTGAGCTTTCCCAACAAGCTTGCACTGCAATAGCAGTAGCCAAACATTTCGCAGCCATTGAAGCGTGGCGGCGATGCGTTCAAACACAGTAAAGTATGTATCTACTTCACTTTCACGGAAGAGCGGGACTAATGCAATTTGTTTACTAATATCGAACCTTTGACTTATTAGCAAATCGCGTCGAGGCACAGGATCAGAACCAGGAGTGGAGGTGTTGATCGGAGGAGCCACAGGTGTACTCGCTCCGGGTGGACCAGTAATTGGAGGCTTGTTAGGAACTTTAGTTTTAATCTCAAGCTCCAGCTCCTTCAGACGAATTGTACGCTGAGTTTCATGCTCGACTGTTCTTACGTGCAGCAGCTGACCTTGATACTGCTGCCGATTTAGTTCCAACTGAAGCTCCTTTAATTTAATAGTCAACAATGGGTCGCATGGAGATGGCAGCTCAGCAGGATCTATGCTAAACGGTTCCTCGGGTTTGTCTGCTCCGCTCCCTCACCCCCGGAACTCGTTATTAGGTTTGCAACACCCGCTAGCTCGCCCTCCTCTGGCAAGATCCCATTCTCCACCATATGTCTCACCACCACTTCCTTAATCTCCCTCTTTACCGCACTTCGAGGCACCCTGATCTGATATAAATCTGCGATTGCAAATAAGTCATCTTTACGACATTTTTCTAATTGTCGTGCCGAAGGCCGAATTGCAAACTCCTCCAAATCAAATTTAGAAGACATCTCAAAACCTCTGCCAAAATCCCCTCCCCTTAAAGCAAAATCCCCAAGGAAAACAATAAGAAACAAGGCAAATTTCATTCGATCGAATAGTCCATTTGTCTACAGTGTATTGAACTTGGTTGTTCAAACCGGAGAAAGCTTGAACCGGCGGACAAGCCCCCAATTTATGTTATGGCCATCTAGGGCCAGTGGCAACATAAATGAAATGCGCACTCACTCCCAAGATATTATCAAACAAAAAAAAGATTTATTAACAAACTTATAATGAAAATGAGTAACAAAGAGAACAAATTCAGGAGTGGACAAGGCCAAAATAACAAACAAAAATTAACTAATTTTAGTATACCCTTTAAATTCTCTAACCAAAATAAAACATTTAAAAAAAGGAATACAACACAACTTCCCTAACTCCCTTAACCCAAAACAGAACAAACCATATAAAAGAAATGGCGTCACACTCCCTACTTCCCTTAAACTAAATACAATTGGAAATCAACTAAAACAAGAGCAAGTTTTTCACAGTATAAATGTGAAAAAGAAAAGGTGAGATGCCTGAACTCTAACAATTCCAGTAGATACAGTATTTAATCATCTTCTTGGGGGGATATTTTCATACACAGGCTCCTCCTTTGATTTCTGCAAGGAAACACAAACACAATCAGAATTCTGCTGATGTGACAGGCAATTATTAGCAGACTAACTTAGGTTTTCCTGCAAAGTTTAATCTACAAACTGCTTTGTTTTGAAAAACCACTACTACAGAAGAGACGCTAACATGGAGCAGCAAGAGGAAATGATATCAATCTCATTCATCACATGACTTTTTAAGCAGTTAAATCATCAAACTGATTACAGATTATTTCTGAAGGTTGGTTAGCCAATGCGCTGAGAATGACTGTCTTTCCCAGGACCGAAGATAGTTGTTTGTTACCAATGGCTGCTAAAGTTGTATTTCACCTCAGATAATAATGAACCACAGAGCAGCTGCAGCTCAAGGCCAGACTTCAGCACAGGTCACATGGCTTAACAACTTTGAGTCCAACTTTTTTTTAATGCAAATTTAATCGTACAAAACTTACTGGGTCATTTGAGAATAACAAGCCAGTTTATTTAGGGACCAAGCACCAAAGGTGGGTATGCACCTATTGTATCCATTTGTTTTCTTCTTCCTCCTCCGCTCATGAAGTCTATGGCAGCCCATAAAACATCGTGTGGGAAAGTAGTGTGAAATTTGGCACACAAATATAGGACAGTCTCAACATTAATCAAAGTAAATTTGGAGTATTTAACTCAAACCCTCTAGCACCACCAACAGGCCAAACTAGCACTCATGTTTCTGCGTGCAACTTAGAATTTTCCAAAAAATCTACTTTTTCAAACTCTTCCTAGACCGTTTTGTCTGATTTTTACCAAAATATGCTCAGATCATCTTTAGACTATGTAAAAAAAATGTTGAAAAACGTAAAGATTTTTGATTGATCAAACCATTTTTGTAAAGCGCTGTAACAAGTTTTCCAAAGTTTGAGAAAAATGAATGTTAGGCTATATCTCCGCAATGCTTTAGCAGTTTCAGACCAAAATTGGTATGTGTTATACCAAGCATAACCTGAGGGAATGCCAGCAGTTTCAGCACAGTGCCACTTACAAAAAATTGACTTTTTTACAATCTTACCATTTTTCCTTTTGTTGGTTTAAACAATGCTGGTCCGGTTCTGTCTTCCACTTGTGTCTGGTCTGCATTAACAGATAGTTTAAGTAATGTATCAAAATTTATGTTTTAAAAAAGATAAATATTTGTACAGATTTATTGCTTGTTCTGCTGACCTGTTTTTCTACATTTCCTGCAGATGCAGCACATCACGACTGTAGCTACAATCAACAGAGATCCAGCAGCAGAAATCAGCACTATGTAAAACAAAGGTAGGCCCTGATCTGTAATGGACAAAATGTACCATTAATGTGAGTGAATATGTTCATCTGATCTACAAGAAACACTGAAACATCGACACTGTATAACTGAGAGATCAGCTTAATCACAAAAATATCAACACCAACATACCTGGACATGGCTGACAGAGTTCAGTAATGCTGATGTTGTGTTGAGTCTGGTGACTGATGGGATTGTTGAGCACACAGCTGTAGGTGTTGTTATCCTGATATTCCACCTCCAGAGGTAGAGAGAGACTGATGCTGAGATCAGACACACTGATGCTGGACAATAAACTGTTTCCTTTGTACCAGGAGAGAGTCACATGACCCACATTCACCACTGAACACACCAATGAACAATATGATGAAGATGATGAACAGTCTCTGATAATGTCAGGAGTTGGCAGATGAGCTGGCAAACAAGATAATGAACAGAAATAACAGAGCATGTCATCTAAAACTATAAAATGATTAAACATTTCAATATGTAGTTAAAGGAATATTCATACTTCTGTATACATTAAGCTCAATGTTTGTGTTTGTGTTAATCAACTTTAAACCGCAAACGCAGTCGAATAAGCTAAACCCCAAATATTCCTTTAATAAAACAGGAACGTGTAAGCTTGAACAAATGAGCTTTACTCACCATAGACAGAAACATTGAATGCTTTTGATGTCAGTTTTGCTCCACTTATCTTTACTTCATAGTCTCCAGCATGTTGAGTTGTGATGTTTGTGATGGTCAGAGATCCAGTTTGATCGTCCAGCTTCAGTCTGTTTCTGAATCTCTCATCAGGACCATCAGATGTATAGAAGATTCCAACATCTCTACTGATTTCAGCTATCAGAGACTTTACAGGTACAAAATTCCACAGTATGTTGTCATCTTCATGTATTTCAGTAACATCAGTGTTTAGAGTGACAGTATCTCCCTCCATCACTGACACTGACTCACCAAACACACCTGGAGAACATGTTTTGTCACAGATTAAGGCTCCTGATGGTTTATAAAGCGTGAAATCAGATGTTGTCTGTAACCTTTAAACATGAACTGAAGAATATGATCAGAGATGCAAAAGAAAGGTGATATACATGAACAGACCATGTGAACCAGTCATTTGATCTTTAATGTGTTTTATCTGCTTGTAGAGTAATATAACTATGTGCAGTTACAGGACAAGTTAATTACAGCAGAGTAAAACTACAAGTTTAATTCCTCTTGACACTTTAAATCAATTAATATTAAATAAATTGACACGTTTCATATTTTTGTATTTGGCTCATTAAAACAGAAGCATTATTACTGTGATAAAGGAAGAAATCAGGCCATAAAAATATATTTGTAACTCACCAATCACACACCAACTGTACAAACTGAACAAACCAAGTGTGTGAATCATTTTCTTCAATTGTTCAGTGAAAAGTCTGATGCAATAATAAGAATATCTGCTGATAAAAATCAATATGATGTGAATCCTCCCACGACAGAGTTTGACCCTCTTAGTTCACACACACACACACACACACACACACACACACACACACAGACTCTCTGATGTGTGTTTTGATTATCTATAGGATCACACTTTCGTTTTGGGACCAATTCTCACCATTAACTATTAACTATGACTTTTGCCTCAATAGTAACTCCTAATTCATTGCTAATTAATAGTTTGTAAGGTAGTTGTTAAGTTTAGGTATGAGATAAGCAATAATAAGAATATCTGCTGATAAAAATCAATATGATGTGAATCCTCCCACGACAGAGTTTGACCCTCTTAGTTCACACACACACACACACACACACACACACACACACACACAGACTCTCTGATGTGTGTTTTGATTATCTATAGGATCACACTTTCGTTTTGGGACCAATTCTCACCATTAACTATTAACTATGACTTTTGCCTCAATAGTAACTCCTAATTCATTGCTAATTAATAGTTTGTAAGGTAGTTGTTAAGTTTAGGTATGAGATAAGATTAAGGGATCTAAAATATTGTCATGCAGAATAAGGCATTAATATGTGCTTTATAAGTACTAATAAACAACAATAAACACACATACTAATAAATTATGTGAATATTGGATCAGTCAACCTGCATTTCATGATCTTTGGATATTTCAGATCTTATGGATATTAAAGTGGTTTTATAATCATTCAATTGTTGTAAATGGCAAAGATCATCTCACGTTGCCAATCTTACTGAGCTGTGACACAAGCAGCTGAGCTTCTGAGTCAAACTGAAACATGCTGTGGTCAGTTTCTTCAGAAATGATTTGATCTGTTAGGTGGACAAAGATCTTGTGCAACACAGTGGCTGTTCTGTTTAATCTGTGTTTAGTTTGTTGGTGAAGGGCTTCTTCCTTTGCTGCGGTTATGAACCTTACAGTCACAGTATGACTTCTTTCCTACACTGAACAGATTTACAATCAAATTCATGAAAACCAGTCAGAGGTTGCCCATCATTAATTATTGAAGCCTTGTATCAAGGAAAAATCAGCATGACTTTGAAATGTCGGACAGAAAAGAGAACATCTATATCTGATCGTCAAATACACAAGAAATAACTACTAAGCATTTGTTTTTTACATTTATACTTATAATGTATAGTTTGTACAGTATGTGATGTTTTGATTGTGTGTATAATTTTCACTATTTTATGTTCAGTACTTTTGTGCATTGCCTCATTTGCACACTTTCTGCCTTTACCCCAAGGCTACAAGTGAAAGTTGTATTGTTTATTATGTGTACATACATGTCTTGATTGCTAGTTGAAATCATTGTTATAAAACTTAATACACTAAGGTACAAAAATTCAGTAAAATTTACAGTAAAAAACCGGCAGCTGTGGTTGCCGGAATTTTACTGTAAAAAATACGGTAGCAACGGTTTAGGTTTTACGGTTTTAACTTAAATTTACAGTTAAATACCGTAATTTTATTAACTGATATAATGTTAATATACCATCCTATTGAAGTACTGAAATCTGTTTTGTAGCTTTGTAATACACTGATAACCACTAAATGCAGGTGGTGATGAGAAAGTCACATGATAAACCAAAGGCCATCACAAGCAGCTTTTAAATAATAACAAAGAAAGAAGGTGCACAGTGTCATTCACACAAACACTAAACACCATAATGGTAACACACATGAAACTGAAATAATGCAATCAACATTAGGTGTAACATACAACCCTAATATACAAAACTGATAAGAAAAAACTAAGAAGAAACATAGTTATTTCAACAAAAAAGCATCACATTTGAAATGTAAAGCAGGGAATTCTGGGAATGTCAATTTACGGTTATTCACTGTAAATTATACAGTCTTTTACACTTCCAAAAACGGTATACTACCGTAAAATTAATGTCCAATACAGTTTTTCACCTTATATAGTATGGGAATTTATCATTAAGCATTTAACTGGTTTTTACTGTATTTTTACAGTCTTTTACCGTTAAATTCACGGTAATTTTTTACAGTGTAGGGATAGTAAACAAAATGCTAGTAATGGCAAAACAAAGCACAGAGCCAATTTTCTTAATTAGATTGCACAATAAAGCAATAAAACCTAAGACGCCATGGTTTACTGTTATTTTATAACAACTAAGGGGACTTTAGGGGGAGTGTGAACGAATTAAAGTCCTTTTTTCCAAGACGGCATGAGGCACGCTTTCATTCGTGAGTAAACACAGCGGCCGCTGAAATAAGCAGTTATGTGTTCATTTGTAAGCTGATGTGCTGCGGAAGTTAGCAAATTTGTGATAAGGAGGACAAAAATGAGGAAAAAGAGAGCAAAGTTTTTAAATATTTACAGTACGACGCCTTAAGTTTAGACGTGACGTGAGATATGGCTGTATATCGGCACGCTGTGATTACCTACGGCCGAATCACAGCAGTGCCGATATACAGCCATATGTCACGTCTACTCGTGTGATAATTGTGTTTATAAAACAGTATAAACAGTATACTTCTGAATCACAATTAATTTGAGTGTCCGATAGGCTCGTACTATCCTTTCATCTGTTAAGGGTGATTTCTGATGACAGCAATGCTCGGTGCATTTGTTGGCTGTGTACACGCTGGTTTTGAGAGAAAAAATAACGTCCTTGTTCAAAACTGTGCTTTAGTATTTTTCAATTTAAAAGTCTTTACTTCTGACTCATAAAACAGTCTCTTGTCACCATCTAATGGCGGAACAATGAAACTAAAATCACCGTTATGAACACACACACACCGTTTACCAATACTAAATACTACTATTATTTATATAAATTATTATTTATTGAACTGCAATATTTAATAAACAACAACAGCCATCATAAAAGTTGCTAGGCAATTCAGTCAAAAGTACAAAGGCAGCGCTCTGATATACAGCATTGAAGTTACATAAACATGATGAATCTGCAGATTCTGTCATTAATTACCCTCCCTCGTGTCGTTCCAAACCCGTAAGACCTCCGTTCATCTTCGAAACACAAATTAAGATATTTTTGATACATCCCGTGAACTCTCTGACCCTCCCATAGACAGCAAGGGTACTTACACAATCAAGTTCCAGAAACGTAGCAAGGACATCGGTAAAATAATCCATGTGACATCAGGGGTTCATCCGTAATTTTTCGAAGCTACGAGAATACTTTTTTGCGCAAAAGAAAAAAAAACTGAACGCAAACAGCGTGCCACAGCTGACACAGAACAGCATACGCTGTTTGCGTTAAGTGGATATTCTCCAAAATAGCGCTAGGGTGACGCGGAGGAGACTAATTTTAATAAAGTCTTTTTTTTTTTCTTTTGTGCACAATAAGTATTCTCGTAGCTTAGTAAAATTACGGTTGAACCCCTGATGTCACATGGATTATTTTACCGCTCTCCTTGCTATGTTTCTGGACCTTGTTCGTATAAGGATCCTTGCTGTCTATGGGAGGGTCAGAGAGCTCACAGATTCCATCAAAAATATCTTAATTTGTGTTCCAAAGATGAACGGAGGTCTTACGGGTTTGGAACAACATGAGGGTGAGTAATTAATGACAGAATTAATTTTTTTGGGTGAACTACCCCTTTAAGCACACACACACACACACACACACACACACACACACACATTTTTTGGTTTTTTGGGTGAACTACCCCTTTAAGCACACACACACACACACACACACACACACACACACACACACACACACACACTAAAATCAAATATGTGTGTACAAACACTTTATAAATGAGGCTCCATGTGTTTTGTGCTATTCACACTGTCATGAAATAAAACAATCACAGAGGATATAGCAAAAGGGGGTTTGGGCCACATTTCCTGCAGTGTGTGAGCATAGCTGTAGCGGTTCTGAAATAACTGAAAACCACACCATTTATACCTTCATAAAAAGAGCATGCAGTAACAAAATAATTTAGCAAATAGTAATTCTACCATCATGTTGTTCTGCAGCAGTGTTTAGCATAAGAGGTCCAAGGTGTATTTTACAACGGCTTCGATCGTGCCATCATGTGGCGAAAACGACGAATAGCGCCTATCAATCTGTAATGAACATGGTTATTTAGTTTGTAATATTTAATACCTACTTAAAATAGAAAAGAAGAGTTTTTTAGAAAACAGATTTCACATTGAAGGGCTTGCTTCATTCGCGTTGTTTTGACACAGCTTTGGTTTTTTTGCCTTCGAACTAACTTTAATTAGTAGCCTTACTTTCACTTTCACTTTCACTTGACAAGGGATGTTCTCAAACACTGCACAGACACGGTCGTCGGGTTTTTCTGATCAGTGCGTTCTGAGAAACGGAAAGTCTGAGAATTGACATGCTGCACTCGGTCGGCTGTCGGCGTTGGTCTGCATCTGTCAGTGCGGTGTAAATTGGCCTTAAAGCGACAGAACACTATTTTTTATTTACACGGAGTCTGCATCAATTCAAAATGAAGGTCTTTATTTTGTGCATCATATTGTGTGCATTTTTCGTGCCTGGTAAGACATCTATTTGTAACACTCTATCTGATAGCAGCCTAAAGAAAGCGATGGAGCTGTGATGCTGTTTCATATTTATCGGATTTACTCACGTAACACTGGACAGAAATGTATTATTGCTAACTGTTTTAATTAGCTGCGGGTTTAGATTTACATGTCGATGTGTTTTGTGTGGAGATAAAAACTAGAGCGGATGGTTTAATTTTTAAGGAAACCAATTAATACAGTAGTAATTAACAACACTCAAATATATAGCATTCATGACTGAATGCACAAATACATATAAAAAGTGATATATGAATCAAGACGGGGTTTGTATAATGTTCATACAGTTGTATGACTGTGAGATCATCTCATAGATCATCTGTGAGACTCATGCATGTTTGTGTGATGAGTTACTGTTTAAATCAGCAATGTTCTTATTCTGTTTTGTTTTGCATGTGTCATGCATATATTGCATTTGAGACATATTTCTCTACTTACAGTCTGTTATTTCTTCTTCAGTTGTGTCTGATGTTGCTGCAGATGTAGTGTCAGTGTCAGTGATGGAGGGAGATTCAGTCTGTCTATACACTGGACTTAACAAATCTCAACAAGAAAGAATAAAATGGTATTTTAATAGCAGTCGCATTGCTGAAATCACTGGAGATGAGAGTAAGATCTGTACAGATGATCAGTGTGATGAGAGATTCAGAGACAGACTGGAAGTGGATCATCAGACTGGATCTCTGACCATCACAAACACCAGAACCACAGACTCTGGACTTTATTATTTACAAATCAACAGCAGCAGATTCAGCATCATTAGGAGCTTCAGTGTTACCATCACTGGTGAGTGATATTCAGTCAATTAGTGTGTTTTCTATTGCAGTATTAGAAGACAATTCAATGTTTTGAAGTTGTTTTGACCAAGTATTACAGTATAATTGAGATAATCGTTATCACCTTCATGCAGTATTTGTAAATTAACAATGTTTACTCTTTCTCCATGTTACTAAGGCAACAAGATTTTTGGTCACACTTTTAGCTCCAGGAATTTGCAGATCATATTACTGGATTTTTTTGTAGGCCTCAAACAGGCTGATCAAGCCCAGCAGCGAATGGGTGTTTAAGTTCCATACAATCTTTTTTTTTTTTTTTTTTTTGCAAAAGGACTGCTAGTCACGTAGCACCGATTTCAAAATTTCACTCTGGTTTGATACAGATTGAACCAACCACAAATTTTGCGCAGGGATCTTTATTTGATATCTTGCATAATATAATATATTACATTTTACCATCTCTGTCTGAAATAAGTTAATGTTAAATAATTGACCACCTCAGAAATGGGCTGTACAGTTGAAATGAGCAGGTCCGTAAATGTATGGAAAAACCAAAGGCAATGACAAAAAGACGTTAATACCATAAAATAAATGATAGATTCTGAATAGAAACATACATTTAGTTAATTTAACTGTGATATGGTGAGAAATAACACTAATTTCCCATTCTTTATCAGCGGTCCGTAATAATATACTATAATTATCACTACATTTAAATCAATGCCATTCTTAGGCTGTTTGTTTGCATGTGTTACATGTTTGCATTTGATATACATACCAGTCATACTTTTAAATAATATACATTACACTCTAACATTTTTGGATGTTTTTGTTACTGAAAATAAATTTACATCTGCAGTTCTATTTTTGTAATATTTAATACCTACTTAAAATAGAAAAGAAGAGTTTTTTAGAAAACAGATTTCACATTGAAGGGCTTGCTTCATTCGCGTTGTTTTGACACAGCTTTGGTTTTTTTGCCTTCGAACTAACTTTAATTAGTAGCCTTACTTTCACTTTCACTTTCACTTGACAAGGGATGTTCTCAAACACTGCACAGACACGGTCGTCGGGTTTTTCTGATCAGTGCGTTCTGAGAAACGGAAAGTCTGAGAATTGACATGCTGCACTCGGTCGGCTGTCGGCGTTGGTCTGCATCTGTCAGTGCGGTGTAAATTGGCCTTAAAGCGACAGAACACTATTTTTTATTTACACGGAGTCTGCATCAATTCAAAATGAAGGTCTTTATTTTGTGCATCATATTGTGTGCATTTTTCGTGCCTGGTAAGACATCTATTTGTAACACTCTATCTGATAGCAGCCTAAAGAAAGCGATGGAGCTGTGATGCTGTTTCATATTTATCGGATTTACTCACGTAACACTGGACAGAAATGTATTATTGCTAACTGTTTTAATTAGCTGCGGGTTTAGATTTACATGTCGATGTGTTTTGTGTGGAGATAAAAACTAGAGCGGATGGTTTAATTTTTAAGGAAACCAATTAATACAGTAGTAATTAACAACACTCAAATATATAGCATTCATGACTGAATGCACAAATACATATAAAAAGTGATATATGAATCAAGACGGGGTTTGTATAATGTTCATACAGTTGTATGACTGTGAGATCATCTCATAGATCATCTGTGAGACTCATGCATGTTTGTGTGATGAGTTACTGTTTAAATCAGCAATGTTCTTATTCTGTTTTGTTTTGCATGTGTCATGCATATATTGCATTTGAGACATATTTCTCTACTTACAGTCTGTTATTTCTTCTTCAGTTGTGTCTGATGTTGCTGCAGATGTAGTGTCAGTGTCAGTGATGGAGGGAGATTCAGTCTGTCTATACACTGGACTTAACAAATCTCAACAAGAAAGAATAAAATGGTATTTTAATAGCAGTCGCATTGCTGAAATCACTGGAGATGAGAGTAAGATCTGTACAGATGATCAGTGTGATGAGAGATTCAGAGACAGACTGGAAGTGGATCATCAGACTGGATCTCTGACCATCACAAACACCAGAACCACAGACTCTGGACTTTATTATTTACAAATCAACAGCAGCAGATTCAGCATCATTAGGAGCTTCAGTGTTACCATCACTGGTGAGTGATATTCAGTCAATCAGTGTGTTTTCTATTGCAGTATTAGAAGACAATTCAATGTTTTGAAGTTGTTTTGACCAAGTATTACAGTATAATTGAGATAATCGTTATCACCTTCATGCAGTATTTGTAAATTAACAATGTTTACTCTTTCTCCATGTTACTAAGGCAACAAGATTTTTGGTCACACTTTTAGCTCCAGGAATTTGCAGATCATATTACTGGATTTTTTTGTAGGCCTCAAACAGGCTGATCAAGCCCAGCAGCGAATGGGTGTTTAAGTTCCATACAATCTTTTTTTTTTTTTTTTTTTTGCAAAAGGACTGCTAGTCACGTAGCACCGATTTCAAAATTTCACTCTGGTTTGATACAGATTGAACCAACCACAAATTTTGCGCAGGGACCTTTATTTGATATCTTGCATAATATAATATATTACATTTTACCATCTCTGTCTGAAATAAGTTAATGTTAAATAATTGACCACCTCAGAAATGGGCTGTACAGTTGAAATGAGCAGGTCCGTAAATGTATAGAAAAACCAAAGGCAATGACAAAAAGACGTTAATACCATAAAATAAATGATAGATTCTGAATAGAAACATACATTTAGTTAATTTAACTGTGATATGGTGAGAAATAACACTAATTTCCCATTCTTTATCAGCGGTCCGTAATAATATACTATAATTATCACTACATTTAAATCAATGCCATTCTTAGGCTGTTTGTTTGCATGTGTTACATGTTTGCATTTGATATACATACCAGTCATACTTTTAAATAATATACATTACACTCTAACATTTTTGGATGTTTTTGTTACTGAAAATAAATTTACATCTGCAGTTCTATTTCAGCAACTGCTACTGTCTCACGTTTTCACAGTACTCTACTATTGTATATTTGTTTTCGCTCCATTATCCGAGAAGTGGCTATATGATTAAAAGTTTGTTTCTTCTCCAGGTGATCAAACAGATGATGTGTGGGAGATTCTGTCACTCTACACACTGGTTTTAAACATATAATACGAGAAGGCAGACATATTAGAATAAAATGGTACTTCGATGACATTCACATAGCACAACGCAATGGATCTTTGAGTAAGATCTGTACTGATTTAGAGGGATTTGGAGACAGATTGAAGCTGAACAGTCGCACAGGTGATCTCACCATCAGACATATCAGGACCTCAGATTCAGGACTTTATAAACTATAGATTAACATCAGACAACACTGCATTCTAAAGATGTTCGTTGTTGCGGTTGGTGAGTTGTTGTTGTTTTGTTTTTTTACATTGACATTCCACAAGAAAGAAAAAAAAATGAGATAGGAGGAAAATTTATGCCAGTGCTTTTGCGTTCCAACACAAAATAATGAGCACAAAACACTAACGCTTAATAAACACACACACACACACACAAAAAGATCCCCCAGCAGCTGTTGGTTTGTGTTTCAGGTGTTCCTGTTGCTCAACCAGTTGAAATAAAGAGAAAGTAAGTGAAGGAGGGAGAATCTGTCACTTTATATCCTGGCGTAATAAAAAACCCAAATGATGTAATGACGTGGCATTTTAATGACATTCTCTTCACTGAAATCAATGAAGATCTTAGCTTTATCTGTACACATGGACCGTGTACATATGTTGATGGGAGATTCAGAGACACACTGAAGCTGGACAATCAAACTGGATCTCTGACCATCACAGATATCACAACTGAACATGCTGGACATTATCACCTAAAGATCAGCAGCAGCAGATTCAGCATCAAAAGGACCTTCAGTGTTACTGTCAATGGTGATGGTATCATTTAATCATTCAGATCACGTCCCTTTGAGCAGTTTAAGAAAACAGCTTACATTTTTTTAAATCGACTCAATAAATATTTTCATTTTATTTTATGTGAAGTTAATATCATCTTTATGACCGTCACATGCATGTCAATGTGACACAACTTTAGCAAAAATTAATGTTATTTATATGAAAAGTGTGCTGATGTTTCCAGTTGTGCTCACAGTGCTGTGATGCTGTTTTAACTTCCAAACCCACCAGATGACTCCATTTATCAGTTGAATCAATATCACTAGGTGTAAATATCAGTCAAAGCTATCAGTTGCTCTCCAGTAATAATAATGTCTGTATTTATCATTGCAGGTTCAAGTCAGTCTTCAGGTCGTATAGCAGGAATACAGTGCATGTTGCTTCTGTTCTGCTGCTCGTGGCTGCAGTTGGTGTGATTTATCTATAGGTGCGCGTCCTACTCCTCACAGAACAGATCACAAAAGTAGACTCTTGAGGTAAATGATCTAGGATGAACCGTGATTTTTGCCAAAGATCTGAACTGAAACTGTTACTTTAGAGATGTGATAACAGAAAATGTTGATATGGAAAAAGCTGTGTTAACATACCTGAAATGATCCAAGTTTTAATGTAAAGTCTGTCTAGCCCGGAAAGAGCTTGCACTTTTGTTAATGAGACACATGTAGACTGAAAACAGTGTTATAACCTAGCACACTGCCATTAACACCACACAAATCCAGAAATCCTCACAGTAATCCAGAAGTACATGCAAGGGATGCACAAAACCCAAATGGTGACACATTCTGGTCATACTGTAAATGCAATGAACACACAGGACAAGCATGTAATGATACCTTGTACAAACTAATCACAAATGTTTATACAAAGTGTAATCTTTTAAATGTAATCTACAAATCATGCAGTACTGTACCTCTTTAATATGTGTTTCTTTATAAACTATAGGGCTTGTTTTTGTGTTTTCATGGAGTTTATTCTTACTCCTCATACTTATTATCTCGCCCCTCCCACAGGATGCAGGTGTCCTTCTTGAAAGTCACCCAAAGTTCACTGGTTCACCCAAGTTCATCGGCGCTGTCCAATGGAAAGCACCATACCTGCCCACTGGAGAGCGCCCAAGACTCACAGTCTATATTAAGTCATTCAATAATGAAACAATCATCAAAACAATCACCATATTGATCAGTATATTGGTTATATTTATAACCATACCTTATATTTTTTAATAAAATATCACAACAGAACAATTCTGAAAAAACTCTATCACATATATATAGATGTATGGAAACAACATGGAAGTTTTGCAGTGTTTATTGAAGACAATAAAGGTGCATTCATTCCAACTTGTAAAAAGCGTTCACATCCTAAACTTTTTGATTTGTACCACGTGACCACTGCAGATTTATTTTGACGTTGATCGTGTTGCCGTAACCATTCGAGAACATGAACGTCACGGGTTGTCATTGTGAGGTCTGTTGGATGAAACCGTTTTTGGTTTTTACCCACGTAAGTTTGCATTTGGTTTAAGCAAAGAGTTTTCCGGCTCAACAAGGTTGGTTTTGAGCGGGTTTCGTCGCCATAGTAATTAGGCTATCTTGCTCCAGAACAGGTTTTATTTTGGCTTAGGGATAGCAAACCCAAACTGAACCAATCAGCTGTGAGTAAAGTGACATACAGTCCAGTGAAAGAATTTTCAAATCCATCCAGGCAAACAAAGGATATATGTTCTTGTATATATAAGAATATAAATAATAATGCCGTTTAACGCATTTGAGACTTTGTATTTTCCTCAGTGCATAACTGACAGTTACAGTTATATTCTCCATCTGAAAATGTTAGAAAGTCATGCAAATATATCCATTTTGCTGTCAGGAGTGGGGGAGGCTTACGCGAGTGAACGAGCACTGCTGAGTAGGAGCGCAGTAATTCTGAGAAAAAATATACATTTAGCTAAAGTATTTGTTGTTGGACAATAAATGTGCCTCGTGTAGAATTTTAAACTTACAAGTAAGTGTATTTTTGAGATAGCAGTAACTGTAAGGGACTATTTTTAATGGGCGATTGACACTTGATCTGACTATGGGCAAAGCATAACGTGCACACTTACCACTTATGTGGATTTTAGAAAAGTGGGCAAAGCATAACGTGCACTACACTTGCATACCGTTCTAGGGGTTCTCGTGGCACCCTGAAAAGGCAGCCTATAGATAAAAATAGCGTATCCCCAGACGCTATATCTACGGCTATAATGCTGGAGTGGCTAGCAGTAAATCTGTAGCTGGGGGAGAACATCCAGCTCTTAATGGAGAGGGAGCTCAACCTACAGCATGTTCCCATGGTGGAACAGCTAGCAGTTATTCAGCTGAGGGAGCAACACACTCAGTTCTCAAACCGAGACGGGGCTCGACCTGCAGCATGTTCCGCACTGGAACAGCTAGCAATAGTTTACTTAGCTGTGGGGGCAACACACCTAGTTCTCAGTCGAGAAGGGGGCTCGGCCTACAGCATGTTCCAATGCAGGAACGCTAGCAGTAGTTTACCTTGGCTGAGGGAGCACAAACCCAGCTCTCAACGAGCGGGGGGGGGGGGCTCGACCTGCAGCATGATTGAAAAATCAGAGGGGTAAGGGGTAAACTCTCATTCCAGGTAACCCTTTTGATAAAAGGGGAGCATTGTCTCAATACTACCATGAGGACAGCCCATGGAGCGAGGAATCTAACTCCTCAGAGAGGATTAACGCTCGAAAGAAACATCATACTCACAATAACCCTCAATGGTGAGGGGGGTTGATGCCTCAAGGGGATATCCTGGTGATCGGGAAAAACCCCTCAGGGCGACCCGGATACGGTAGACCAGTCAGGGTAGCATGAAAGCGTAAACCCCAGCCCGGACGTCCAGGAAATTTTTTTGCAGTGACACCGGGGGCCTGATAATTACAAAACTCCCGCAGAAGCCTGTGTTATAGCCGCATGATCCAGGAAGTATGAAACCGAAACCTTACTTACCTTCTGGACATATCTCGACGAGTGAGTTTATAAACACTGCAAGTCGAGCACCCGGTTTCTGAACCCAGCACGGGAAACACTGCAAAGAAACTAGCAGAAGGGTACACACAACCACCAGTTCCATAGCACATACATATATTTATATACATATATTTAGACATGGATCGTACTCACCCACCACGGCTCCCGCGTTGGAGCTCTGTCCGGAAAGCCTCTAGACCGGACCTTCAGTAAGGTGGTTACTATGATTAACCATAGAACGGGGTAGATGTTACATCCCCTGAGGGAAAGAGTGGATACCTAAGTATTACTCTGATCCGGACGAAAGCTCTGACGCCTTGTCTGGATCACATCCCTCAGGTCTTGCCTACCTCCCTTCGACCCACGATACTTCCTACCCCTACCCGCAGGCGGAGGAGGAGCGCGAGTCGCGACACTAGCCTTCTGTGCTCGTCTCTGATCCTCAAATCGAGACGGGCCAGGACCCCTGGTTTGTTCGGGCTCAGACCTGGACCTTCGTGGAATGAAGGTTTTGAAGGCCGCTGAGCGTGCCTTCGCCTCCCTGAACTTTTCGATGACCGTCTCAACGGATGTACCAAAAAGTTCAGAGGGCGAAACCGGGGCATCGAGAAGAAAACCCCTTTCTTTCTTCCCGATGTCTGCCAGGTTTACCCACAGCTGCCTCTCCGTTACTACCATCGCTGCCATAGATCTGCCCATGGCAGAGGCAGCCTGCTTAGTAGCACGAAGAGCAAGATCCGTGGTGCGGCGTAACTCAGCCATCTCATCAGAAGAAAGGCCCTCGCCTTTATCCAGGTCTTTCAGCAGATCAGCCTGGTATGCTTGGAGCACCGCCATCGTGTGCAGTGAAGCAACAGCCTGACCTGCTGCTGCGTATGCCTTGCCATTCATTTTAGATGTAGCTTGAAGAGGCATGGATGGCAAGGAGGGAGTTTTGAGAGATGATGTCTCTCCCATAGAGAGATAGCTAGCTAGCGTCTCTTCTACAGGGGGCATTCTCTCATAGCCGTTTTCGCGCACCGCCTCGATATTCGCATAACTGGTATGCTGAAACCGATGGATGCGTGAGGAAAACGGCTTCTTCCATTCCTTCTCGATCTCAGTATGGAGATCAGGAAGGAAAGGAAGACTCACCTGAGCTGGAGGGTTATGGCCAGAAAGATAACGTTCGTCGAGACGACCTCGCGACGCCACTTCCTTAGTCCGCTTCCATGGCAAGTCAAGTCTTGCCGTGGCGCGATCCATAACCTCTAAGAGCTCATCATACGCAGGGCAGGAGGATTGAGAAGGCTCAGCCTCAGCTTCTTCGCTCTCATCATCCATTTCCTGCTCTTCCTGGGCTGAAACCAGCAGAGCACTGGCCTCTGGATCAGATGATGTTAAAGAGAGAACATCATCCTCCAGTGGCTGTCTCTCGCCCCCCGCCGATGAGCGCGAGAAGGAAAGCCCCTCTCTAAACTCATCGGCCAGGTCCACCTGAGATCCCCACGAGCTCATTCTCCTCCGTGCCTCAGCAGCGGAGGGTCCTGAACCGCGGGAAGCAGATGGCTGCCCCTCTTTACTTGAAAAGAGAGACAAACGAGAACGGAGTTTTTTCATTGGAAAAAACTCGCAATGCACGCAGATTGCCCCCTCGAGGACATCGCGTGCGTGCTCCTCGCCCAAACAAACAACACATAAATCGTGTGTGTCATCTGGTGTCAAATAGCGCTGACACGGATGCACACACCTTCTAAATGCTCTACTAGTGCTCGCCATAATAAATAGATAGCTCTTACTTTTTCCTTGAAAATGCACGCTTCAAACAGAACAGTCAATGAAGACGAAGAAGAGAATGATGTGTAGCTCCCGGCGCCGATTTATACTGGAGTCGCACCGGTAGTGACGTCATGGCTGTCGCCGGCCAACGAGTTGGTGTTTTTTCAATGTATGCTTCAGACACGGGTCACGACGAGGCGTTCCCCATAGCGACCCCTAGAGGACGCAGTTCGAAGTTCCCATGAAAGGGAACTCTATCACATATATATAGATGTATGGAAACAACATGGAAATTTCGCAGTGTTTATTGAAGACAATAAAGGTGCATTCATTCCAACTTGTAAGAAGCGTTCACGTCCTAAACGTTTTGATTTGTACCACGTGACCATTGCAGATTAATTTTGGCGTTGATCGTGTTGCCATAACCATTCGAGAACATGAACGTCACGGGTTGTCATTGTGAGGTCTGTTGGATGAAACCGTTTTCGTTTTTTTACCCACGGAAGTTTGCATTTGGATTAAGCAAAGAGTTTTCCGGCTCAACAAAGCTGGTTTTGAGCGGGTTTCATCGCCATGGTAATTAGGCTACCCTGCTCCAGAACAGGTTCTATTTTGGCTTAGGGATCGCAAACCCAAGCTGAACCAATCAGCTGTGAGTAAAGTGACATACAGCCCAGTGAAAAATTTTCAAATCCATCCAGGCAAACAAAGGATATATGTTCTTGTATATATAAATATATAAAGAATAATGAAGTTTAACACATTTGAGACTTTGTATTTTCCTCAGTGCATAACTGACAGTTACA